CAAGCCAACAGATTTATCGCTGTTGATCTTGGTCCCTGTCACCATCTCATAGCCTCTGATTTCTCTGTAGTCTTCGTTAATTTCGGCCATGCCCGACACAGGTATCGAAGCGTCATCAGCATAGGTGGAGTACCTGATCAAGGGGGTAGCATCAGGTAGGGCAATTCAGTGAAGGGGCGGATTCGTCTTCAACTTACGTAGGAAGGGCTCCAACGCAAGAACGTACAGCAAAGCCGAAAGTGGACAACCTTGACGAATAGAGCGAGAAAAAATGATAGGGTTTCGATCTTACCTCATTCCCTCTATCCGCGCCCCGAAGGACGCATGCAGATGTCGGATCCAAGTGCGAAAGTACGGCCCTAAATTGGCGGCCGAAAGGACAGCCTCCAGAAATTGATGGTCAACCCTATCGAAAGCCTTGGACTGATCTAAATTGATCAACGCGGCATCACTGTCGATTTGCTCGATGATCAAGCGTGTCAAATGAAGGTTGCCCTTCACAGCACAAGTTTGCTCAGGACCAATCAGACTAGGGACTTTAAGATTCCTCCGGGACCAGAGACGAACCTCCAACCAGTTCATTTCCAACAGGAGATCGGAACTGAACCAGACGCCGAGTATCCTGACAAGTCCGTCCGGCAAAGAGGAAAGATCCTGGAAGAAAAACTTCCTTCCACAAACACAACCGCAAGCCAACAGATTTATCGCTGTTGATCTTGGTCCCTGTTACCATCTCATAGCCTCTGATTTCTCTACTGACTTTGTTAATTTCGGCCATGATCGACACAAGAACCGATTTTGGCTCTTTTTTGTTTGTGGTCTTTAATAACAATGTCTGGGCGGTTGGCTTTGATTGTTCTGTCAGTGTGTATTATGTAGTCCCATAGAATTGTAACAGGTCCTATCTCCGTAACCGGGTCTGGGTGGTGTTCATACCATTTTCTTTCAATTTCCTTCCCGTAGAAGTTGCAGTTTTTCCAGTGCAGATCTGTATCTGGTCGGTTGCATTTGTCTTTGCTGTCTTTTTTAAGTATTTTGCAGTTTCAGCCAGTGTATTGTGCTGTACTTGCATTTCTACGCCCATTTGAAACTCCATTTTGAATTTGTTGGCTTCTTTTATTACGAAGTAAAGACGCTTTAAAGCTGTATTGCACCACAGCGACAGCCAATGTGTTTATGGCTGATATTCTGTTTTTTTTTTTTAGTTTAGCTCGGTATTTAGTAACAGACGTACACGCCTGTAGTACTCTTTTCTTATTTTTATCTTCATTTGGGGATGTTGTATGCCATCTCCTTCGCTAACTCATAGGTACATATAAGCTTCATCATGCTCTAGTTCCCTAATCTTTGTCACATAATCTAAATCTATTAAGGGTGTTTCTGTAATTCTACCTTTCTTGAATGTTACTTTTGCACATTTATCTAATCTGAAGTCCATATCTATGTCGTCACTGAAGTATTTTACAATAGTGAGGAGGCCTTTCAACTCATTGTCGTCTTTGGCAAAGTGTTTGAGGTCATCCATGTAAAGTAAGTGATTGAATATTTTCTTATTTATTTTGTAACCATAGCTACTGTTGACAGGAGATTAAGCAGAAGGGTCAATATTGTTCAGACTCGCGGGCCTTAAAGGGTTAAGAATTGTATTATAGAAATACTACATATATATGCTTTATTGTGAATTAAAACTAATTTAATGAAAAGAAACTTGTATTTAACAACTAAATTCTATGGAGCATTTTAAAAATCATTTCACCCCAAGCAAGGCGTGAATGCCACTCGTACTCAGGGACGTGAGTACAGAGCGTGAAATTGAGAGAAAACACTGAGTATAGGGAGGATTGAAGCAAGGACAAAATATGAACGCGATTCAAGAAAATAGAAGATGACGATTGACGTTGTAGTTATCAGCGAAGCAAATAAAAGGAGGGGAGTTCCTCAGGTAGGAAGTGCGAGAAAATAAATTATTGAAGTAGAAGTGGCGAATGCATTCATTTAATTCGTCAGTAAAAGGGTGAGACCTAATTGCCAATCTTGTAGCACGATTAAATTCATGTAGTCGGGCCACCAGGGAAAAAAGATCGTTAGAGGAGTTGCCATAAAAATATTTGTAGAAAAGACAAAGGGAAGCCACGTAACGTCGGTGAGAAAGTGAGTGTAGACGAGATGCCAAGTCAGAATCAATTACATGGCAAAACCTTCTCTGGATTTTATCAAGAACCTTGAAATGAATAGTATTATGTACACTAGTAAAATAACCCATAAGAAACCATTTTAAATTAGACCCCTGTTGAGAATCTTTGATATAGCTAAAGATTACAGATATCTTAGTAATTATTAAAACATTTCTTTATTAAAAAAGCGGTTCAAGACAAATGGTAATGCTAATGGTAATATCTGACGTATCTTTATAAGGGAACTTTTGGAATATTAAAAGAATTTTTCAGGAAAATAGGTTTCTCAAGTTTTCATAATTCTTATCGGTCTATTGATGGGGGTTTCCTTCCTAACCTTTTGTTTGAGGTAGTGAGGAATATGCACATATTGAGCAGGACTGTATATTCTCTTTACTTTACATATGTTATCCGTTTTACTTGTTGTTGCCGTCGAAATGGCTTAATTTAATTTTATATATATATATATATATATATATATATATATATATATATATATATATATATATATCGGTTACATTTCTTTGTTTGAGATTTTGTAGTGTGAGCCAATCAGGTTTCAAGAAATAAGGTCGTCCTTAATACGTACTTGATTCATTCGCTGGATGTGATTTTTAATCATTAATTTGAAGAAAGCGGTTGTATAATGTTTACATGTTATATGAAAATCTCGATCTAACGAGGCTATTTAATAACATAACTGGAGTACTGAGGTAATTATTTGCGTTTTTCAACATCTTCTTTTGATATTACTCCGCGCCTATTCTATGTTCAATTTTCTTATCTCTTATACTATTTTTTTTCTTACTGATTCATACATCTATGTTTTTGAAATGGTTAATAATTATTAAGTCTATAATTTTTTATAATAGATTCAGGGTAAGTGTCAGATGAAAGTGTAATAAATAAAGCAAAATATTCTTTGTTCGCTGCGCAATTGTAATCAAATCTCGCCGGAACAAAATATACAATATTTAGACAGAGAGATTTACTAGCCAGGTATGGTAGAATATAATAAAGACGGGACGGTGTAATGGTTAACAAGCTTGTCTCACTACAACAATTACGACTGAGTAGAGAGTTCGATCCTCACTGGGTGCCCCATACATGGTGGCCTTGTGCCACATCTAAGCTACGCTTGGAAAATCACTATAATAAAGTCATGGCCGTCGTGGACTTTCAATTTTTGAAGATAATTATATTTTGTATTTATAATCAATATATTCACTTACAAGAAAGTGCTCGAAATTTGAGCTTTTTTTCCAAATTGTCGATTTGCCACGAGTAATTGAGAAATATTTTTAAAAAATCGACATAACCCGTAAAAAGGCAGTAAATCCACGAAGAGTCAAGGGGTTAGAATTATCAGAGAGAAACTTAACTATGGAGAGAAAAGAAGAGTAATCAGGAGGACAGTAGATAACGATTGATATTTCATTTAAATTTTTCAAGATTAAAGTTGGATGGAAAGTGAGGAGCTGGAAGAGGGTTCTACAATCGAAAACCGAGAGTAAAGAAACTGTTAACAAAGAACTTACGGTTACATTGAGCCAAAGCAAATGTAAATTGGTAAGACCTCGTCGCTAGCCTAGTCTTTTTTTTATGCCCCATGTCCTTTCAGGGCGTAGGCGATCATGGCTCACCACCTTCCTCTATTCCTTGCAAGTTCCTTCCCTTCGCTTCTGGGAGACGGTCCGCTGATACCTGAGGCTCATGCCTTAACTTACAATTCCAAAGAGTGTAACCCACCACTTTTTCGGTTTATGTTAACAGTCTCAGGTTGACGGCACGGTGGTACCTGAGGCTCATGCCTTAACTTACAATTCCAAAGAGTGTGACCCCCATTTCCTCGGGTTATTCTAACAGTCTCTTGGTGATGGCCGGTGATACCTGTTGCTCATGCCTTACCTTACAACTCTAAATAGTGTGACTCCCATTTACTCAGTTTAAGCTAACAGTCTCTGGGTGACGGCACAGTGATAGTTGTCGCTCTTGACTTACCTTATAATTCAAAAGACTGCGATACCCATTTACGCGGTTTATACTAACAGTCTCGGGGAGAAGGTACGGTGACACCTATCGCTCATGCCTTACCTTACAATTTCAAAGAGTGTGAACTCCATTTCCCCGAGACTATTCTAACAGTCTCTGGGTGACGACCTGGTCATGCCTGTCGCTCAAGCCTTAACTTAAAATTTCTACCCTTACCGGTTGAGGAGTTAATTCCAATAGACTTAATCCCACTTATCGATGCATCGACAGCAGAACGTATAGAAGATGAAATTGAAAAGTTTTCCTATACGCTAGACAATGCCAAGTTTCATTGCAAATCACAAGAAATTACAATTGACATCGGAAACCTGAATACCAAAGTAGGAAAGGAAAGAGATAGTGAAATAGTTGGCAAATTCAGATTTGGACCTCGTGATAAAAGCGGGGGTAAATAGTTCGAATGGTGTACGGTGAACAATCGAAGCTCATCAGACCCCACCCGTCCTGATTCAGCCAGTTGATCATTCCATATTGTATGGAAGATTCCCATCTGAGGAAGTCTTAAGCCAATCTGACTGAAACGTCCACAACAATTACGGACTTATATGATATCATTTACTGCTTACCAAATATTGAGAACTGTTGAGAGGAATTCTAGTCGCCATATTTGTGGGGGAAGGGCATTTCAATGCAATGACCTCTTTAGACAAAATTGGATACAGAAATGAAATGGAAGAATCTCAAGACGAAGCTTTCTTCTGTGACAAATGGAAAAGATTGAAGAAAGGACAAAAGAAGACAAGGATTATTTAAGTAGGATTTAATATTATGAGAATGGGGATAGTTTGGATTCACTCACGGCAAATCTATCTATCTATCTATCTATCTATCTATCTATCTATCTATCTATCTATCTATCTCTCATGTGTTTCTTTCGTGATTTTATGAAAGTTAAAAGAAAACATAGCGAAAGGGGCAATAATCCAAGGAGAATAATGAAAAGTATTCAGCAGTTACTTCCCCTGAATCGCTCAATATTTTCGGAATATCTTAAGATTACATAAAAAATGTTTATTTTGTGAAGCGAAGAAAGAAACACGATTTTTTCCATGATTCCATCTTCAAGTGAAGGAAAGAAAAAGAGAAAAAAAAAAGAAAATAGAGTATGAGGGGGAAAGGATAGAAAAACTGACATTTGTGGGGTGGATGGGCGTGAAAAGAGAAAGAAAGAAAAAGAATGTAAAAGAAAGAGAAAAACAAGAAAAAGACAAATTAAAAAAGAGAGAGAGAAAAAGAGAAAGTAAATAAAAAGAAAGAAAAAAGAAAAATAGAAAAGGTAAAAGATGTGAGGGGGAATAAGACAATTCTTTCTACGATTCTTTGACTGACATTAAAATTTTAATTGTCGAAAAAACTTGCAATAAAACAATTTTTTATTCTCACCAAATTTACATTTTCATTTTAATATTAAAAAATATAGAAGAACAAATCATCGTTAGAAATAAATTAAATTTATTGACAGATTTTTCCCTTAAAATATCTTCCCAAGCCGAAATATCATTTTCGTTATTCATAATAACAATGGCGCCTTATTTGTCTGCTATAATAATAATTTTTTATAACTTCTTATATTTTATAGTTGTAAAATCATTGTTAATATAACTTGAACAAGACACAAATACAATTGAAATATTTGTTGCAGACCAGGTAGGGTGCAGTGCCAGACACCACACTAAACTACCGAGTCCACAAACAATGTATAAAAAAAATGTATGAATGAACAGTGAGAGGAATGTGGTTAATCCACACGTGCATAAATTAAAAACGTTAATAAGATAGCCTGCACAGAATGACAGAAAACGACTGGATGCAAAACAAGTGTAATTTTTTATTAAATGGAAAAACCAAGTAGATTATCTCGTGGTACGAGATCAGGGAAAAAGGTTCCGCGCCAAAATAGGATAGCAAGGTGAACAAGGCGGGAAAAAGGTTTTTTTTTATGTTCTGGAAAAAGGAACTCGTTAACACCAGGTGTAGATGTGCACAGATAAAAAGGTACTTACTGTGGATTTGGGCATTGTAAGTGTGTGTAGTGTTTTTGTGTTTTTTTTTTTTTGTTTTTTTTTTTAATCTTTTTTTTATGTTCAGGTTCACGGTAGTGAGAAAGTTCAGTCATCTCAGATTTTGGGATCAGGCATTGAATTGACTGCTGAAAATTATTTACGACGAGCCAAAACGGACAAAACTTATTTGTTGTTGGTTGCATCGTCTTGAAGAAAATTATTTACGACGAGCCAAAGGGACGAAGAATTATTTGTTCGTCAGTAACATATCCCTGTCTGTATTTAAGGTCGACTGACGAGGGATAAATGAGTCAACTTCTTGGATCGAAATTTTTAGTCGGACTGAATTCAAACGATTAGATTGTCCGTGACGTCAGAGAAAAACGCGGGAAAAACGGTGATTTAAATTTGTTAGAAACTTTTTGTTAACTTACTCTATTTAAAACAAAAGAAAAGGTTTACTGCTAAGTTTAGCTTAACGAGAGAGGAAGGGGTGTAATCAGTGGACGCGCGCGCACACCCGCACAAGTGTGGAAGGAAGGAAGGAAAACTCGCGCGCGCGTAAAACGTAGATGGAATTACTGTATTATTCCATATATTCTTGAACGTTGTCAAACACTGCATTTTCTTTTCTCGCCATTCTCTAAGTGTTTATTATTATTATTATTATTATTATTATTGTTTGTGTATTATTTTTTCTGCTTTGTACCCTGTCGAGCCGAGTCCAAACTATGGTCCCTAGGTCCTGTAGGTGAATTGTCATTTAATTGATAGCACTTTTCTTAGGCTATGAGATATTCCTTGTAAGGCGATCTTCTGGGCAACCTGTATGTTGATGTTACCTGGGACACTATTAGTAAAATTGTTCATTCCTTTTATCACGAGGTCAAGTGCTCCTATTACTATTGGTACAGTCTCAGTCTTCATTCCCCACATCCTCTTAATCTCGTTCTTCTTGTTGTTGTATTTGGAAAATTTCTCGATAATTTTTATGGAGGTGTTTCTTTCAGATTGTACTGCTATGTCAATAAGCATACACTTACTGAATTTCTTGTCTTTTATGATATCAGGTCTTTTATTTCCCTGTCCGTTAAAATTGGCATGTCCCAGGGGATAGTTACATCGTTATTTTGGTTAATTGTGTCTGCTTGGTGGTCATACCATCCCTCAGTGGTTTCGATTTTGTGCTTTTTGCATATCTTCCAGTTCACATATGTCGATACCTTGTTATGTTTGTGGGTAGATTCATTTTTAGCCAGTTCCTAACATCCTGAAATAATATGGTCAACAGTTTCATTTCTCACAAATCCTGCATTTCGGGTTAATTCAATCATTGATTATCTGACAGTGATAGGATCTCGTTGTGAGGCTTTGGTCTTGGGCTGCAATAATTAGCCTTCTTTCTCAACTTTCAGCCCAGTACTAATCTTTTCTGTTGGTCCACATTTGCTTCTTTCTTTATGTGAGAGGAATAAGAAAAATTCCTCCTACAATACTTTAAGTGACATTAGAATTTTAATTGTCGAAAAACCTACAATAAAATCCAAAAATTAGCAATCAAAAGAATTTTATTCTCACCAAATTTACATTTTCATTTTAAAATTAAAAAAAATACAAACGAACAAATCATCGTTATAAATAAATTATATTCATTGACAAATTTTGAAAAATAGCAAAATTGATTCGATAAAGAAAAAAAGTTTTTTTTTCAGATTAATTTTGAAACTTTTTATTAACTATTTTTGCCATCAGCTTTAAGATAAACATTTTTTATGCAAACAAAAATCCTGAAAAAAACATTCAGATTTTTTTTCTTCAAAATGGAAAAAAATACAAAAATTGAGATATTCAGATTTATTTCGACAAAAAGTAAAATATTTTTTGTTGCAACAATAAATACTACTACTAATAATAATATTGCTACCATGACTACTATTACTAATATTACTAATACGTCTACTACTGCTACTATTACTATTACTGCTTAGTTTGAAAAGAGATAGAAATGAAAAATCTTAACAAAACTCAAAATATCACCTGAGACTCGTGCATTTATAAATTTGAACTTGAAATATTTTATTTTATTTCGTAGAATATCTTTATTCTTTTTATTATTAAGGAATTCCAATGAAATGCTATCCAATATGAATACAACACCCACCCTACGCCACCCGCATCCCCAACACCACCCCACACCCACCTCCAAATGTAACATTCTTATTTGTGAAACTTGTTTTCTAGTTTTGAAAGTCTTTAACGTGGGTATCTCCAAAGATTTGCAAAAATATGAGACTATGAATGAAGATAGGTTCGCCTATCGCCAGGTTCAGACTCCTTTCCCTTTCCTTTGAACAAGAGTACAGTAGTACACTGCTATTAGACGAACCAGGTACCCGGTGCAATGCGAGTGGGTGGTGGACTCCTAGATTTTGCTCTCGTACTCTCAATATCGCTCACGTTTTAAGAAATTCCACCCTATTTTACCAATTTCTAGATCATCTTCTTCACGATAGACAGAACAAAAAGTGATCATCAGTTGGGTATGAATTTCTTTTAATAATTACACACCTTTTTCACACGTTTTACCTTGATTATGATGATCAAAAAGCCCAAATTATGCAAAATTTTAACACCTCAGCCGTTTCACACCTAATCCAGTTGTATTAGTAATAATTACACATGATTGCTTTATATTTCTAAGAGTTCCTATAATATCGGACTAATTAACAGGAATTCAATCATTGCAATCAGATACCACGGTTGGGGTATAAATAGGAGCACTTTTCTCTGGTTGATCATGTTCAATTTGACTCTCCAACAGTAGACATAAAAAATCTCTCATAAATAAACACATATAAATAGCGCATAGTAATTAAGGGTCACAATCTGGAATTGCAAGAGGAACTACTTTTGAGGACCGTTAAAATTTATTGTATAAAAAATCTGTAGTAAAACACAGAAATAAGTTAAAAATTCGTGTAATTTGCTTTTTAAACCCCAAGCTAAGTATCTAATAAAAATTTCCCGAATAGTTACATTTTCATGTGCATTTACTTGCTTAATTCGAAAATAAATTTTGATAAAATCTACCTTTTTGGAGTTATCGACAATAAAAGGTTTGCCACGCAGCAGTCATTACTGGCGTTGTTTGTATATATTTCCTGCTGATTAGACATACACTTGTCTCGATTATTGCGCATGCACTGATGCAAACAATGCCAATAATGGCTGCCGTAGCTGACAATGATGTGAATGAGTCCGAAATTTTATTGTCGATAACTCCAAAACTTAGATTATATAAAAATTTTTTTTTTTTTTTTCGAATTAGACATGTAAATTTAGGATAAAAAATAACTGTTCGGGAAATTTTTATAAATTAGTATAATTCTTTGAGGTTCTTTTCGAGCCATTATCTAATATATATATATATCGCGAAATAGGGAAAAATAGGGCCCAAAAATCAGATAGGTGTTCAATCACCTATTATCGACCCCCCCTTCCCCATCCTAGCTACAGCGATTCACTTGCAGCACAATTCAGCCATCGTGGACCCCAAGGCCGCACTACAGCGGTGGACTACTGTAGAAGTTTAACCCTTGTTTCCTGTTTAAAACTGCATTTCCGATTCCTTCCCCTAAACACTCATTCTCTTTCACTCCCAATAACCCATTGCATCTTAATGATATTATCAACTTACATTGGTAAAATTATCTTAATAAATAAAAATCAGATGATGAAAACCTTCCCCAAATTGAATAAAAACAAAGTTTTATCTATAAATATCAAAGTACATAAAATTCAATAGAAATATTAGATTACATGTAATATTTACCAAAATTTTAAAGATTAATTGGTTGTTAAAACACTATATAAAAAGAGATGTTAACGTTATATTCATCAAATAATTATTAATGTACTTGACACTCTTCGAAAAATGTCTCAAAAATAAGTCAATCGAGAGAGTTGTGAACACCTCTTAAAAACCCACCGACCTATTAAAATACCTTTGTCTTTGATATTTTAAACTAAAATTAAGTAATATATGTTTCAAATCAGTTTAATTAAACTTTAAATCAACTAAAAGAATAAACTTACCCAAATAATCAATCACGTCCTCGAAAATATAAAATGAATACAAATTAATGAAATGTAAGAAAAAAAAGAATTTCTTCAGCAAGGCAATGAGATACATTCATCGCTTTGGAATACAGGAGCAATAATTATTGAAACTCTTGAAGGAAATATGATATATTTAATTCTTTTAGCGATTCACAAAATCTTACTTACTTCGTCCACCGTTACACTCTTCATTACTGATCTGTATTCGGCATCTCACTGGCGGCAATATTCAAAAAACATCCTCACCCACTCCATCTCATTCTTGCCGTCAACAAATGCCGACGATTTTCAAAGAAACATCCTCACCCACTCCATCTCATTCTTGCCGTCAACAGATGCCGACGATTTTCAAAGAAACATCCTCACCCACTCCATCTCATTCTTGCCGTCAACAGATGCCGACGATTTTCAAAGAAACATCCTCACCCACTCCATCTCATTCTTGCCGTCAACAGATGCCGACGATTTTCAAAGAAACATCCTCACCCACTCCATCTCATTCTTGCCGTCAACAGATGCCGACGATTTTCAAAGAAACATCCTTAACCACTCCGTCTCGCTTTCAGTCGTTTGTGGTAAACCTTATATGTTTTTATACCATAATTTTTTTTATCTGTGAATGGTCGCTTCATTTGCTTTTCATGTTATTGATGAAACCTTGCAAGATATCACTGGCATTGCTGCTTTTTTGGTGATAAAGTTGTGTTCTTGAGGTGGAGAGATTTTAAGTCAAGTCCTATCCATATTGCCAAGAGGAACTCAGGAGGCAATTATTGAAATCTATATTAAAACTTTTCCTCTATGGCTGATTTTTATCTAATACAGATTAAGGCAAAACATTAGGAATTTGCAGAATGGCTCTTGCATCTTTGGCAATGGAACATCAGCAGTTTCACATGACACTAATCTTGCAATTGATGAGATAGAAGTGCCTCAAATTTCATGTGTTGTCGCCTCTCCAGCGGATGGTATCTTCAACAATACATCTGAAGAAGAAAGAAAGAAAAAACTCGGAATACCTTCTGATCAATGAAGAAGTTTTCAGACAACTTTCAAGTGACTGCTGTATCTACTATAGTACAGATAAAGGTTTTGACAGATGATCCTGCTGAGCGTTAACCACTTGAATTTCTAAACTCTTTGACACCATCAGGAATGACTCCTCTGAAAATGAGTTTAAATCCCGGTTCAACAGTAATGCATCTTTGTAGCATTTCTATCTAGAATGGTCTCTGCAATGGTACCAGACTGGAAGTGGTGGTCATGCATCAACATTCAATTGACTCATCCTTGATTAGCAGCTCACTGATTGGCAGACTTATCCTCATCCCCAGAATAAACCTGGCTCCAACTTGTCATTCACCTTGGAGAGAAACCATTTTCCTGTCTGTTTGTCATATGCCATGACTATTAATAAGTCACAGGGGCAGACATTTGAAAAGGCTGGATTTTTCTTACCTCACCCAGTGTTTAGTCATGGGCAATTACATGTGACATACTCTAGATTTCGCAAACTCTTAGATTTAAGTGTTAAGTTGATGGAGACAGACAGACAAGGAAGGTGAAGAGGGCGAAATGTTATTAAGAACATTGTCTACCGAAAGGTACTGACTTGAAGCAGTGGAGTGTTTTCTGGAGATCGTTGACTGAATTAGGTATGTGTTTTGGTTTCTATCTATCTATCTATCTATCTATCTATCTATCTATCTATCTATCTATCTATATATATATATTTAAGTTACGAAGAACTTGGTAAACCGAATGGTTAATTCCAAGGAGGATGAAAATAAAAATAAACCTACAGATCTTAATAACAATTTTCACTTAAAATCCCAAAACACACCTCCCTGCAATAAATTATTGGAACCTTTTAAAAAGGACTTAATTAATCTAACCAACATAATATCTTTTAGAAAAAAATACAACCCATTCCAATCCAATCTTAAAAAAGGACATCACAAACATCAAAAAATCTAAAAAACTATGGATCAGAGCTGATAAATCCAAGAACATTTACAAAATTAATCCATCGGAATATAATCATCTGATGCTGAACAAAGTATCTAACTCTTATAAAAAAGATAATAACTCCAAACACCTATCCTCCATACACATAGAAACCGCCAAATTCGCATTTAAACATAATATTGCTGATAGAATGGGCACTACTCACTTGAAAGATGCCTACCTACTTTTTAAAGACCATAAACCTAACTTTCAAAATAATATACATTCCCCCCAAATCAGAGTTAGAAACATTCTAAAAAGAATAAACACATCTATATTAGAAAATTATCCCTTAAACCTTTGGAAAGATTCATCTGACGCCATTAACTGGTTCCAAAATCTAAAATCTATAAATAAAGCCACTTTTATCCAATTAGACATTATCGATTTTTACCCCTCCATTTCTAAAGATTTATTGGAAAATAGCTTAAATTTTGCTAAAAACTATACTGAGATTACTGACGAGAAAATAAAAATCATAATGGATTCCAGACAATCTGTACTGAGACTTAATGACACTACTTGGTTTAAAAAAAAACAAAAACAAAGACAATTTCGATGTCCCAATGGGAGCATTTGATTCTGCTCAAATAGCGGACCTAATAGGGATATATATTTTAGATATTCTGAGCAGATTCTTTAACCCACAAAATGTAGGGCTTTACAGGGATGATGGTCTCATTATTATACCTAACTCTAATGGGCCTCTAACATCCCAACTCCAGAAGAAAATAATTAAGGCATTCAAATATATAGGATTTAAAATAGAAATATCATCTAACCTGAAAATAGTAAATTTTCTAGACGTAACATTTGATCTCGAAAATAACACTTATAAACCCTTTCAAAAGGAGAACCAATCGCCCATATACATTAATATCGACTCAAACCACCCTATAGCAATTATAAAACAGATCCCTAACACTGTAAATACTAGAATAAATAAACTATCCTCTAGTGAAAATATCTTTTATCAAAATAAATCAACATACAATCAAGCCCTATTAAAAAGCAGATTCAAACAAACACTCACTTATATAGATAAATCTATTAACAACACATCTTCTAAATCTAAAAATAGAAAAAGGAAAGTTATATGGTTCAACCCACCCTATTGTAAGCTTTCGAACATTAATATAGGAAAATACTTTCTTAAACTTATAGATAAACATTTTTAAAAAGATAAACTATTAAAAAAGATGTTCAATAGAATGAATTTAAAAATTAGTTATTCCTGCATGAACAACATAGAAAAAATTATTAGCTCCCACAATAGCAAAATTTTAAATGAATTTCATAATCAACTACAAAAAAATCCTAATACGAGCCAAATGACCAAATCGACCCGTAACTGCAGGGAAGGATCCGTTTGTCCAGTAGAGGGAATATGTTTGTCCGAAAACGTGATATACGAGGCTACAATTTTCCCCAAGGAAGATATCAAACAGAAGAAGATCTACATAGGGATATCGGCGGGAAATTGGAAGCAACGGTTTTATAACCATCGCCAATCCTTCACAAATAAATCAAAGAAACATCAAACTGCACTTTCTAAGCATTATTGGGAGTTGTTGGAAAGCAAATTAACCCCACAAGTAAAATGGAGAATCGTCTCGAGAGCTAGAACTCCGATAAACTCCAGAGACCGATGCAATTTGTGCATTAAAGAAAAAATCTTAATAATAAAGCATAAGGATCCGGTCATATTGCTGAACAAACATAACGAGTTGATTTGTAAATGCAGACATAAAAACCACCTCAATTTAACGAAGTATGTTTAGAAACAACTATATAAAAAGGGAAAATGTTAATTTTGTTTTTGAAATGAATGTATGTATACATGGATACTATACTTGTTGGTATGTACGCAGATGAACATTTATATGTGAATTTATTTTTTTATATATATATATGTATGAACATTTTGGATAAGGGTGCTTATATGGATATATGTACTCTTTTAATTGTGGGGCACATGTATGGGGGGTATGTGTGTATATATATAGGTATATATATATATATATGTATATATAAATATATAAGTATTAAAGTATAAATATATTATTTTGTGCTAACGTTATTTTTGTCATTATTTTTATATATATATATATATATATATATATATATATGTGTGTGTGTGTGTGTGTGTTTTTTATATATGTGTGGATGTATGTGTACAGGTGTGTATTTGTGCATGTGTGTAGGTGTATGTGTATGTGTATGTATTTTGTGTGTATATGTACAGATATATATGTATACATGTATTTATATATGTGTAGTATTTTGAATATTAAATTACTTGTAATCTGTATATGTATATAGATGTAAATACCTTAGAATTAATATTTGTAATATATGTGTGAATAGATGTATAACATTGTAATATAAATACATATGCATGTGTGGATAGTTATGGGTAGAATTCTTTTTATATGCTTTTTTTTATGTATATAATCGTGTGTAGATATGTAGGTATTTATGTATGTATGTGTGTGTATGTGTATATATATGGTTGTATATATATATATAGGTGTGTATATGTATATGAATATACCTATATGTACATATGTATATATAGATGGATAGATAGTTAGATAGAAAATTGATAAATAGATATATATATATATATATATATATATATATATATATATATATATATATATATATATATATATATATATGTGTGTATGTGTGTATACGTGTATGGAATAATTTTAAATGGAAGTACTTGGGTAATTCTAATGGTATTTTAAAATTGCTCTTTTTAATATTTAATATCACTTTCTCTTTTAATGTTCTATAATTAGAATTTTGAGAGTGTATTTTTATCTTCTTAAGGAATTTCATTTTAAAATTGATAATTTAAATTTAAATATACCACTTTTAACTATTAATAGTAATAATAATATTAACGAAATTCCTTTAATAATGAAGCACTTCAGAAGTCACCTAAAGTTAAACTTTAACTATAAAATCAAACTAAAATCTAAATAAATTTCAAATGTTAAAATATAGGTAATGATTCAGAAATGTATGTATATATAATTTATGTATGAAGATGGATGAACATTTGTGTATATTGTTGTACGTGTGTCTATGTGTGTATTTGCACATGTAAATAGACGTATGTATATATGGATTTGCATGAATATGTTTGTGAGATGCATATAAAAAGAAAACAAAATCTTTAATATTACCCTCAAATATTATTAAATAATGAAACCTAAACCTTAATTAAGTTTACCCATATAATAATACAGAAAAATTACATTCATAAATTAGATTTAAAGTAAAAATAATATAGATGTTATTGTTACCGAAATTTTTTTACAATATTATGGAAGTACAATTGGTCGGGTAAATAAACTATTATAATTCTAAATATTTCTTTAATATGTTCTCGATAAATGTGCTAATAAAAATAGTAGTTAACTTATATTAAGTCCCTAAACTATTTACTTAAAAAATTAAATGTTTAAAATGATAATATTCATCATTTTTTAGACATCTAAATTTCTATCAAGCATCGAAATCTATCTTTTACATAATTTTGTTAAAACAAAATTACAGCCTCTTTCGATTCACTTCCCTCTCCCCCTCTCTCTTTGCCGTAACACTCATTTGGATATATCTGTATTACTGTCGTCTGTCTCCTCTCCTTTTTTTTTTTCTTTTTCCCTCCATTCCCCATTCCTATATATCATTTCCGTTAAGTTAACCATCTAAATAGGTCACGGTTCGGTCACTCCTCCTACCCCAATATAAAGCATGCTTAAGAGAAATATGAAATTAACCCCTCCTATACTCTACCTTGTCTCTTTAACTACAACTATCACCCTCCCCCTGTTAAATTACAAAATTATACTACCCATCAATTTCTAATCCCATTTTTCCTTTCATTTCGTTGTTGGAATTGTTACCTGATGATCCGGAGTCCTTTAAAAAGGATTTTGGTGAAATAAATTATTGTAATGGTACCTTAAAGTGGTCTGTTTTTTTATTATATATATATATATATATATATATATATATATATATATATATATATATATATATATATATATATAAGAATAAGATTGATTGTATACGGAATAAATTCCAATAACCAAAATACTATTCTTAAAAGAGTGCTCACTACAGAATACAGCAAATATAATTTATTCGAAAATTATAACATAAACACGTTATAAAATCACTACAAAAATAGCCATTTTGTTTCAATAACTGGTGTTTTATCAAGTGATGGTGCTGAATGTAGAATAAACAGTTTTAAATGGTTCAAATCGACCAAACACCCCTCAATAAGGGAAACGCTGTTACATAAGCTACAATGACCAATCAAAATACAAGTAGATGAGAATTCAAAAAATTTGACAACGAACCTTGGTTATCATAATTAATGCTTTAATGTTAAGGTTAGACTAAAATAGAAATCATTCTAATTAATTAATATTAAATTTTACTATAAAATTGAAAATTAAAAATTACCAATTTTAAATTTAACCTGCATTAAGTTTAAAATATCAAAAATTATTTAAAGAAGAAACTTATATATTTTGTTTTAATTGAAAAGCCAAAATCTTAGAATAAAAAGTTTTAATCTAAAGGGGATGTAAAACAATGTAACAATTTCGATACATTTGAAGTGATGATATAAGAAGAGGAGGATGAAATATTGCAAATGACAATACATACACAACCAGATTGTGGACATCTTATTTCCTGATTCA